TTGTGGTTAACATATACACGACATTGTGATGGAGGCGGTCCCAAAAATGCAAATGCCACAAGACGATGGACAAGCTCCACGCGTTTGTCAGAGTTTAAGGTGATGCCGGTCTTGTAGTACCCTGACTTCTCCAAGTATCCCCAAGATACCAGGCCATTTTTGGATTTGATCCTGCCAAGCGAACTTATCATCCGCCCAGGCACCTCCAGGCCTGACAAAGGTTCATACATTTGTTGCCAGTCCTCTCCCAACAGCGTTCCCGTCTCCCGATCGTCCGCAAGTTGAAACTCATAGCCTTTCGTGGCTTTGCCTTGACGGCAGCCATTCGCAACTGAATACCGGCTAATGCCAAGCTCTACGGCTGCCTGCGTCATTGAGGGGGAGATGTTCCAGCTTTGGGACTCAACAGCTCTCCACATCACAGGTAAGGAGCGCCGAGCTCCGCCGCAGCGCCTAGTTTGGCTGGCATAAGAGGCAATCATGTTCTGGCTGGGCGTTACGTACTCCAAGTTGTCCAAAGAATTGTTGGCCTTGTCGCCATCAAGGTGATGCACCTGCCATGTCGAGTCGTCAGGTGGAGGACCGAGAAAAGCCAAGGCCACCAAGCGATGGACCAAAAAAATATTGCCCGACATCTCGACTTTGCGGTAGCCTGTTGGCTGTAAGCTTCCATATGATATTACTCCTCTGGTGTCGCACACCCGGCCATAGGAACTCACCTGCCACCTTGCTGCAGCTCCACTGGCTCGCAGGGGCCCACTGGAAATGCTTCTCCAAGCACAAGCAACGGCAAGACTTCTGGCGCCAAACAACTCTTGCCAAGTCTGGCTGGAAGCTGATCGAGCAACAATAAGCGCCATAGCCCGACTTCAAGATTCCAAACTATAAACTTTCTGGGAACACTATCTATAGCCTTAAATGGGCAAAGCAACATGCACACTCAACAATTACCTCTCCTTTGAGATAATCAGGGATATGTTCCGAGTACGCTCAAACCGCCGCCAAAAAACTCTACCAATAGTGCTGGAAAAGGGTTGCCTCAAACCATACCTTTGTGATCATACCGGACGCGTTTGGATTCCTACAGCTTATATACTTGAACAAGTCGTTGCAGGGCTTCTTGGATGGGGCCCTGGAGCCCTTGGACGATCCCCGGTTGGCTTGTTACGATGGAACACCTGACTATCAATTGGGGTCGTCAGTCTCAAAACAAGAAGGATGACTCCGAATCGTTTTCGCTCTACTCTCCTTCTTCCATTAGTTCAAACTGGTTGATTTGAAGAAAGTTGAAGGTCTACCATCTGGACTGTCGAATTCATGGGCGTTACTCGAACTGCTTGTCACAAGGCAAACACGGATTCTGGGGCCTCTGGTTTCCAAATTGCAGCCAATTGGCAAAGCCTTACGACACCATTTTGCACAGCCAGCCATCTCCTATCTCGGATTCGAATTGATGCAAAGAACGAACCATTTTAATGCAATTGCTGTAAATGACCCTTTCCTTCAATGGCTGAACTCCTCTGACAGGTTCCACCCCGATTGATCTTTGCAGCAGCAGTTTGTTCAATCAAGGCTCTAGCTGGGAAGTGGTCACCGCCCTTTTCGTGTGGCTTTTTCTTGCAGCAAAGCTGGGAGATCAATGCAACGCCACTCTTCGCCTGAAAGGATGTCTGGGGTGGCCAACCTGAACTCGTAGCCACAAGCACTTGCCTGGTGTCGGTTGAGACATCTGGAAATGCTCTTGGTGGAAATGCCAAATGCAGCGGCAACGCCGCGGATAGATGAATGTTTTGTCCATTCTTTGCTGTTCTTTAGCCTGCTCTCGACTGGTCTGCCCCTGATGCGGTTTCTGATGCCTGTGTTCAAGTAAAAGTGTGCCATGTTTTCAGATTGTGTCACGTACTCCAGGTTTTCAGCTGAATTATTTCCTTTGTCCAGGTCCTTGTGGTTAACATATACACGACATTGTGATGGAGGCGGTCCCAAAAATGCAAATGCCACAAGACGATGGACAAGCTCCACGCGTTTGTCAGAGTTTAAGGTGATGCAGGTCCTGTAGTACCCTGACTTCTCCAAACATCCCCAAGATATCAGCCCATTTTTGGATTTGATCCTGCCAAGCGAACTTACCATCCGTCCACGCACCTTCAGGCCTGACATAGGATCATACATTTGTTGCCAATCCTCTCCCTCAAGTGCTCCTCTCTCACTGTTGACCGCAAGTTGAAACTCATTGCCTTTCACGGCTTTGCCTTGACGGCAGCCATTCGCAACTGAATGCCGGCTAATGCCAAGCTCTACGGCTGCCTGCGTCATTGAGGGGGAGATGTTCCAGCTTTGGGACTCAACAGCTCTCCACATCACAGGTAAGGATTGCCGAGCGCCGCCACAACGTCTAGTTTGGCTGGCATAAGAGGCAGCGATGTTTTGGCTAGGCGTCACATACTCCAAGTTGTCCAAGTGATTGTTGGCCTTGTCGCCATCACGGTGATGCACCTGCCATGTCAAGTCATCAGGGGGAGGACCGAGAAAAGCAAAGGCAACCAAGCGATGGACACAAAAATAATTGCCTGACATCTTGACGGTGCAGTAGCCTGTTGACCTTAAGTATCCATATGATATTGCTCCTCTGGTGTTGCACACCCGGCCATGGGAACTGACCTGCCAGCAGTCTTCGACTGCACATTGTTGGATGGGTCCACTGGATGTGCATCTCCAACTATAAAAAATAGCAAAGTTTCTGGAACCAAGCAACTCTTGCCATGTCCGTCTGGAAATGGCCCGACTAGCAAACGTCATAGTGCGACTTCAGATTCAAACGCTAAATTACTTAGTATACATTATTTTATAGAAATCAACTCCTAAGAGCACACTTGTGCTTTTTCACAATCTCCTTCATGTGCTGACTGTTCTAAACACCAATGATCTAAATGCTGCCTTGTTGAATCCCTTCCAATCTCTCACCATAACTACCAACACAAGAGCTGCCCAGCTCCTTGATTTCAACAGCTTTGTAAGGGAAGTGTTGCAAAAGAGTTCAGACTTGAGAGTGGGCGACATGAAGCCGCCTGGAGCTATAGCTGCCCTGGGTGGGGAATGCATTGAACACAGCGGTGGACGCTTCAAAGGGTATGAGATAGAACCTATCCAGAACATGCGGAGTTCAAACTCCCTCCAACGTTCGGGCGCATGGAACTATTTGGTATTGATTCAATTCTTAGGGCATGCATTTCAAGATTGCTAGTCTAGCAAAATGCAAAAACCACCGACCGGATCCGCTACGCTACACTACATTGCTACATGTTGCATGGAGAGGTCCTATTCTTGACTGAGCAAAGTCAAGCGGGCACGCGATGTTGACAATGTTGGCGTACACTGGGTGCTTGACGAGCAGTTAATATATTGCTTTCTTGCACTCAACATGTCTGCGATTGGGAATGGAAGCTGGTCACAAAGCCATAAATTACACATGATAATGGCATCATCCGTCCTACAAGTATCTCATTCATCAGCACTGGTCTTCAGCACGGCCACAAGCAAATGGAGAAATCAAGAAGAGTTCATCCCAGGACCCTTTGCATGATGAGATTGCCACAAATTGACAAGGGGCGCTTCTGCTGACTTCTCACCCTGGTCCCACTCAATCCGCTTCCTTCATCCTAGCGGCTCGCGGCAAACACTTCAGAAGCGGCACCTGTAGCCGGGACTGGGAGCAGCACCAAGGGCTCGCAAGGGTGCTCCAAAAACACATGTCCCTAGTGTGTCGCAAAATGCAGCGATTGAATGAACATTCTTGGCTGCACATATCCATATCTAGCCTCAACTGCAAGATTTCGACCATATTTGACCTCGACTTCAACGGCCCAGTACTGGGCCGAACCCTCATCGACCCACCACTTCTCCACCCCTATCGATCCAACTCCCCAAGCACCAAAGCCACCACCATCCGCCGGTCTCAAAAACTCGGTGAGTTCTTGTGGCTCATCCTTCTTCCCACCCAAGCTCAAGACCGACCAGCTCCTGCTGTCATCCGCCGCATTCGAGGCATCGCGAGAGGCACTTGGGCAATGATGAGGGAATTTGGAGAACGCTGAAGACTCAGGAAACCTGAAAGCCAAATATGAATGTGAATGTCGGAACCCAGGGACACCCAAATGTGCTTCTGCCTGTTCGAACTTCCTTCCTGTCTGCCAAGAAGAGGAAAAACAGAAGCAATGACAACAACAAGAACAACAAACCAACCGTCTGCCATGAATCAACCCTCCTGGACTTCGATTTGCCGTTTCCATGGTTTTCCATCCCCTTGCCCCCTTCGGCCTGGCCAGAAAGGGTCGACTGGACTTGGAGCTTTGGCTCTTGGGACTCAACGGGCTGGGCTCCGGCGAGGAGGGTCCCGAGGACCTGCCGCGGAGCGGAAACTCGGAAGACGCCCGAGTATCACCGAGTCCATCCGAGCCGCGTTACAAAAAGGAACGGGGGAGAAGTGTCTATATAGAGTCTAGATAAGTCTAGATGCATGGCTGGAGATTGCTGGAGCTGAGAAGTGTGCTTATTTGGTTGAAATTGTGGGTGTTCAGGAAGAGCTGGAGTTTCTTTTGGGGGGGCCAATTCCAAGTTGCTGTACCCAAAAGGTGGGGATTGAGTTTCCAGCAGTTTTGAAGGATTTATGATTATTTAAGAACCTTCTAAGTTCGAGGGGGTTGCAAAAGCTGGGCCATCATGATCGATCTCAAATGGTCTTGTTCGCGAAAAAGGCTGGGCCTACATATCATGATCGGTCTCAAACGGTTTTGTCAGTAATACGGCTCATCAAATTATTGGCTTATGTTGAAACGAACAGCTCCAACTGCCCAGCCGATGATGTTTAATCTTCTTTTTCCGGGTGGTTTCTTTCTCCGTGCTGCCACACTCACCAAGTCATGCCGGTGTCTTTCTTGCATTGAAGAGAGTTGGCTGAAATCCGCCCAAACCGAGCCAAAGCGATAAACATTCCACGCACCGCTGCGCTCTTGAGAGCTCCCCCCGTCCTGCCGAAGAACTGCCGCCCACCCAAGCTCAGGCTTCCGGTGCCAGGACTCACCTGAGGGTCGAGGCATTTGCCCAGGACATCATCTGACTGTAGAGACTGATGTAGATGACTTCCTCCATAGTCAAAGGTGTACTGTAGGATATTTACTATAGTAGGGGTAGGAGAAGTTCAACTGTTGACTGTTGCTTAGTGCAGGGTCTTCAAAGGCGTAATTGTACAAAAATTGAAAGGACTCAAACAGCTGGATCAAAGGAATTTCCAACAATCAATACACTCAAATAGCTTTGGGTCCAACATAGTGTGATAGAATCTACAAGTCTTGTTCGGTTGGATAGTGCGCTCACAGATGTCTTATCACCACCGGTTGTGATACATGTACCAGCCAACCAGCCACCTTGCAGTCAAACCAGTGAATATCGCACCGCCAAATTGGATCCACTCCTCACGCACCAAAGGGTGGGGCGATTTTTCTGGAAGCTGAAACATGCCGGCGGAGTCCAAGCGAACGACCGTCTGGTCCTATGCCGCGCAAACCGTGTGATCATATATGACCTTATATCCTCTCGAATTCTCTACGTGTGACAGGCCTGCTCTGGAATGAAGCAACCAACTGGTCTCTCTGAGATTCGTTAAGCAATTGTTAAACGCCACCTGTGAACCCGAGGAGGAAGGTCGGCTCCCAAAACGGAGGAAAACCCACCTCCAAACAACCCACCTCAAGAATCAGTCAAGGAGACGTCGAACTAACACCTTCTGGGTTTATCCGGGTTCTTTTGCAGAGTGGAGACATGTGGAAACCAAGCAATCCACAGTTGCATCTTGAAGAGCCAACCACCCATGGAGCTAATTGAGCGAAACTCATTCAAGTTGTTTACTGTTGACTTTCTAAGCTACTTCAGCATACGGATCTCCAACTCATCATCTCTCCACCCAAGTCACAGGCCCCAAAGGCGTCCAGGGCGGGGACGAGGGCGACGCCGGCTCCTCGTCGTTGAACGGCACCTGGGAAGGGCAGGTCCCAAAAATCGGAACCCTGGAACAAATTCCTTCCAAGAAACTAACCCTTTGATGCCTGACCTATATACCACCCGACCTCATTCTATATAATAGAGTCATAAGTCATAAAATAAATCATGTTCAAAGATCCTATGTTCAAAAATGTTCAATCAATTTCAAGGGTTATCATCTAAAAACACCATTTGAATTGGATCCCATTGGCTGTTTGCAGTCACCGGAGCTCTTGTTTTGGAAGCCTCACCTGCCGCGTGAAGGATCTCGAGGTCGGCGACTCCTCCAGCTCCACCGGGCGACTCGGTCGACTGCGGCTGCCACCCATGGCGCCGAAGCAGCATGCGCTTTCGGCCGGGTGCGCGTGTGGTGTGGTGCTGCGCAGTGCTGCGCGGAGAGGAGTGGAGTGATCAGGTCTGAGGCCTGAGTGGGTGGGTGAGTGAGTGTGATTGGGGCTCTGAGTTTGACAGGGTGGGGTGGGGTGGGGTGGGGTGGGGTGGAGGAAAGTTTGGGCTGTTGATGGTGGACTTGGAAAAAACATGTGGCTCTTGGGTGGCGTGAAAAAAAAGAACTGGCTGGGGGAGTCGTGTTTACAGTGCCCTGTGTAGAACTCTCAATGCACCGCAAACATACATGTATAATCAGTGTGGTTTCCCTGGTCTCGCATACTATCGTGGCTTTATCTCCTCATCAGCTTGTCCGCGGTGTGGGAGTATCATATGCTGTTGCCAATGCATGTCTGGCTGTCCCATCCTTTGCGGCTTGAGCTGTCCAGAATTAGGCCGCGGGATGCGATCATCAGTCATGCATAAACAGAATCTGTCGTGACAGCCTCTGCATGCCTCTGCCATAAGCACATGAGATGTGGCAGCTACACCTCATGGGTGAACGGATCCTCAATTGAGTGCGAAGGGCTTCTGTAGACTGTTGACTGTGGGGGGTGTTTGCATGCCAACAGGCCAGTAACCGGTAACCTTCAAAATGGATGTTTCGTCGACTTGTCTGAAGTCAGTAGGACTATTTGGGATGTTCCCTGCTGGACGCTCCAATCCAGTGGCAATGGACAAGCTACACAACAGTGACAGTGTCGCACAAACAGCCAACCCAAACCCAGCAAACTTGGACCCCACACTTGCCTCTATGACTGATGATTTTGATAAACAATCTCCTGCGACCTCTGCCTTTACTCAAATAAACAGCAGCAATGATCAATCTCTTCCGTCCTTCCTTTTGTTGCCCTCCCTTCATCTCCTTTCTCCACTCTCAGAGTCGACGGCACCAACCTCGGTTCGCGCGAGCCGTCGGAGCCGTAGCCGTCGCAAACGGAGGGGTCTACTTGGATGACTCCTATAGGGAACCGTACTCCGCAGCCAGAACCGAAGACTTCTCCTGACATCACCCACCTCCTGACAGTTTGATTCTGCTCGTCTTGTGAGGAAACCCCCCACCGGAACAGAATCAAGAAGAGATTGCTAGCACGATTGCCTGTGAAGATTCCACTGGAACACAAAAGAACAACACAGCGCATGCCTGATCAATTGTATACTTCCCAAAGTAGCATTTCAGTTGGAAACCGAAGCATGTCATCCACCCCATGTCAAACCCGGTGTCCATCCGCCCAATTTTCGCCCAAGCATCTCTCTGGAAGGCCTTCAGCAAGCGACGCAGCTCAGGTGACTTTGCCAGCTGCTCTGCTAGCTGCGGTTCTACTGTCAGCCGCTGGTGGAACATCAGCTCTAACACCGAGCGCGCCTCGTGTGCGCGTCCAGCGAAGGGCGTGTGACGAGGTACATGGTGTGTATGAAGTATAGTTGAGGTATGTTGAGGTGTGGTTGATGAACCAAAGTGATCATGCTCGACACACTCTACAAATCCACAAAAATGGTGCTCCCGATGGACAAAACTCCGAACTCAAATCCTAAATGGTCATGACCAGAGTCAAGTGCCTCGGTCTTTCTTTGGCAATCATAGAAGCTTTGAGAATGATGAAGATGAAGGGATGTCTTCGTGTCATCTCGCAGCCTTGCACATCCCTTCATACAGCAACTTGGCCGCCCCCATCGACGTGCCAACATCTCGTGCCTCAAACATCCCCCCGAAGCCCGGACCCAGTGCATCTGGGGCGCCAGGGTCATATCCTGACCGGACCGTTTAATGACGGGAGGACGACTGGGGTCGGCATGCGATGTGGAACAAAAAGCTAGCGGTCATTGGGGGCTCCACCCTCCAGAGCGAGGTATAGATAGATCTCTGATGGTTAGTGTATATACCAACATTTACAGGTAATAGGACACCCCCAAGGAATGTCAGTTCTGCGCCGAAGGACTCGGATAATAACCGGGACTCAATCTGAAGACCAAACAGGTGGTGAACTCCACTTCCATGATGGTTTCAGGGAGTGTAAATACTCCTGACTAGGAGCACTAGAACTTTTCATATTACTGCAGGGGATAGAACTTGCAAAGAAGTATATATAGATTGGCAGTTGTTACCACATCAAAATCAAGAAAAACACAAATTGAGTTATATTAGGATCCACACCAAAATCTCTCAACAACTACCCCACCTCGGCTAAGACTGGAAGCGCGATCACGGCCTTTATATCTGAGATTGCCGCCCAACATAGTGCCGTTATGGTTGGGGTAATCTTCTGGTTTCACATTGCTCTCCAAGGACTGGCTCATCGCTTTCGATTTGTGAAGGTATGGCATAGGGGCCAAGTCGAAGGAAAGAAGTCCAAGCTTTTCGACTCTCATCCACCTCCCCTGCGGGGCTCCTGCAGCACCAGCGCCACCTTCAACGCCACCGGCAGCATCTTCGCCGTGGGCCGCAAAGGCGTCTGCCGCTGCAGGCGCCGCCACAACTCCCGGAAGCGTCCCGCGTGGGACGTGGCCAGTGCCGACAGCACCAGGTGGTAGGCGGTCCTGGGGAGGAGGCACCACGATGATCGCAAAAGGGAGTGTATAGGCAATTTTAAAAACCAAGGAGCGAGACTTTGCAGGGGGTTCTTTGTCTTTTTTGTTGGGCTTCAGTGTGGCAAGGGGCGGAAAATAGGTGCAGAAAGGTAGGGTGAAGGAAAATCAGAAACTCATGTGCCAGGACACTCCAAGATCGGCTGATTTCGGCTCCTAGCAACGTGGTTTTCAGGGCACCCTCTGACTCTTGTCACCAGGAAACACCAGTAGGAAGATATGGATGGGTGATGGGTGTGGACAAACTCTTGCAACTTTTGTTGGGCAGTGGCAAGTGGGTGGTTGCGAAGAAGCGAAGGGAGCCACTGGAACAATTGTGTATTGCAAACATTGCCATTGAATTCAAATTCTGAACGAGCAATCTGAAAATTTGTAGGGGGACCACTGCACCATATCCATCGATGATACATGTTAAACCAAAAAGAGCATCAAGTTCCAAACCCAATGGTGATGTCAAGTATTTTGCACATCTCCAGTCATCTTCCAGACCTCCAGTCATCTGCCTCTACTGATCAAAACCGTCTCTGAGCCTGCCCTTGATTATTGAGTCCAGGCACTCATCCGGCTCAACGCCCAGCTCTTCTCGACTCATCAGCAGGATCTCCTCCGCCTGTGTGGGAGCACCACAAGAGCAATAAGCCGCCAGCATGGCGTGAAGCAACTCCTCAGCTCTCTAAACAGGGCGGTTGGGTCACCTGGATTGAAAAACACCTACTCCCCTGCCAAGCGATCACATGGACACCCAAAACCACTGGGTTGTAGAGGAAAGTGGTCTTCCACCGGTCAATTCTCAGGTTCCATGTTTGCGGGAGGGTACCATCGTGGATAAGGCCGTTCTGATGACCATGAAATCCAAATACCAAGCAGGTCCGGTGGTGAACTCCACTATCCACTATGATTCCAGGTGTGATGCCCGGCATTGGGCAGCAAAGTCACGAGTATAACATGCTAGCTGCTGTCGGAACTAGAAGTGGAACAATCCCTAAGCAGTTTTCCGGGCGGGTTCTGTCCCACTTCTATGTTATATAAGTTTGGAGCGGGGGCAAACATTCATTGACAACTGATCTTCAAGCTCCTCAAGCTTCTTCTACTGTGCACTGAAACCTGAGAGCACCCCCATCGCAACGACCACTCCTTGCGAGAGCCTTACATTTACCCACCGCCATCTGCGCCCATCCAACAACCAACACCACAAAAGCAAGACACATTATCGCATCTTCTGAACCAACTTGATCTCCAATATTGAACCTCTTGTTTGACCCAATGACTGCCACCTGCGCTGCTCCTCCGATCCACTGCTCCATCTCCGGATCCCCAAGGCGAGGTTCCAAAGGGATGGGCCCCTGCTGTCGCGACTCCTGCAGCTCGCGCCAGGCGTTCGCCAGCAAACGTCCCCTCAAGCCCGGCTCCTGCGGAGCATTACTGGGAAGTCGATGCTTCGATAACGACGTCATGTGTGACATGAATGTAGAACTATAGTGAGCATGGGGTCATTCAAGCATTAACCACGGACTTGATATAGACCATGATGGAGTTGTAGCACAAGCTCTATAGTGTTTGTCCGCTTTCTGAATGAAACCCACATCCTCCAACCAAACTCATCACGGATCCAAGGGCGGGCTTCCCCCGGATCGGTCCATGCCCACCTGCACGAGTGCGGCCGCCTGCCCAAAGGCTCGCACCAAATCCTCAGTGCAGCACCAGGTTCATGGGGAGAACTGGAATATATTGGTAGAAGTTAAGGCTCACCTGGAGCCAAATCTTGTAGTCAGTCTGACCTTCTTCTCCTTCCTATTTGAACAGTTCCAAAACGTCAGTCCTTTTTTGGGGGGATCTCTCTTTACCAACTTCCTCTTCTCTAGTTACCTCCACCTCCTCCTTCTCACATCTTCCCACCAAGCCGCTGCCCTCAGCCCCACGTCCGGCTCCACCTGCGCCGCCCGCATCCGCCGCCGCAGCTGCTTGGCCTCCTCGGCGTTGGAGGTCTCGGCGCAGGCGCGCGCCAGGGCGACGCAGAGCCGCGCGGAGGGCGCGAGGCCACGACCTGGAGGGAAGGCTACACCCGGTGGATGGTGGTGTTGCTGGGGGTATACAGTTGGGGCGTCTTCAGAAACTGAGTGTTGCTTGGAAAACATAATGTAATATAATTCACGGTTCCATCCACACTTCCATGGGCTGGTAGATTCTGGTAGATCATATCTCACTGCCAGTCACATTCAATGACCTCCAGGCAAAGTGCCCTTTGGAGCGCCACAGTCCAGGATGCATTGCCTCACTCTACCTCACTCTCCATGAATATTATGAATTCATTAAGATCTTGTGAGTTGTATCAGAAGGACCAAGCTAGCCGCCCTAC